TTATTTTTAGCCAGCCCAATTTCTTGTTGCAGCTTGGTGGGAGCTGGTCCTTTCAGTTCAGCTCCATCACAGCTCACATTCTCCTGCTCCAACCCAGATCTCTGATGTTCTTTCTACATCCATTGCTCACTCAGAGGGTTTCCTTTCACTGACTTCATTCCTCCTCCTTTATGTTCTGCTCAGCCTCTCCCACTACTCCAGATCCATGGCTGAGTCTGTGATTTCCCTTGGCCCTTGGTTTGCAGCATGGACCAGACATTCACAGCCACAGGCCACCAGGCTTGTCCTGGACCTCAGCACCTCTCCACAAACAAACCCTTCCCTCCTGTATGCTCTGATAACCTTGGCAGTGCTTCCCTTCCTCCCAAATGTCACAAAATTGGATATGATGCCACATAAAAATCAGTGGCTTGGCCCTGCTCCTTCTGCTTTTACCCAGAGCAGGAGGGAGCTGTTGTTTTCTGCTGAACCCAGAGCAGTGATTTATTGAGGTGACCCATCCTGTCCAGGCAGCTGACCAGTGATAAATTCATTTTTCTCAGCCTGCCCACATAGCCCAGAGCAGTGGCTTGTGCTTGCCATTAGGCCACAGATGTGGGCTCAGAAATCTGCCCAGGATATTTCCTTTCTGTGACTGTGGAGCAACATGTAAGGACTTGCTCCTAGATCTGGGTGAACTGCGTTAGAAACGCCAATACTCATTCATTTCCCAAAGGATTCAGGCCCAGCAAGGACCATGTGCTGTTTCCATCAGCAACTGTTGCTCCAAGGCAAGGAGAAATTCATTATGAAGACTGCAGATTACATTGCAGACTGCCTTTATTATTCCCTGGACTACTACCAGAATGCACAATGTGATCGAAGGAACAGGAACAGTTCTAAGGTTCTATTTCCTGGAAATCTTTGGGGCTCTATTCATTTAATTTAAAACCCAGCTCCAGTTGGAAATCAAACAGCCATAGGAAGCAGAACACAATTGATAAAGGTCATTGTGGACTAAATCCTCCCTGATAATCAAGACAGCTCCTCTTCTTGTCCTTGAAAAACCTTTCCCCTGGGAGCCCTGTGAAGTCTCCAGGCACTGGACCTGGGGAAGATTTGCTTCAAGGAGATGTTCTGCACCACCCCAGCCCCTGTTCCCCATCACACCAGGTGGGATTCTATGTGCCAAGGCAGTAATAGGCATCATTTTCTAATGCACCCATGATTTCATGGCAATTGAAGTGTGAGAGGGAAAAGGAAAGAGGCAATTGAGAGTTGCAGCTCTGACGCCCGACCCCTGTCCCTGCTGCTCACGTCACACCAACAGAAATGAGACCAAATGAGTCTATTTTCCAGTGCCTGATGTTGGTGGACAACAAATCACAGGAAATACTTTGTTATTCCCCTCTAAGTGTCTTTATCTGGACCTTCAGATATTCCCTGCTATGATTTTTGGCTCGTTATTAACGAAAATGTGCAGTGAGGATGGTTGTTGATGATATGTGAGCCAAGAATAGATTCCAGTTCCTTCTACCATTTTGGCACCAAAATGCCAAGAGGGATGAGACACCCTGTAGTAAATGCTGCTCATTTTGAGGCAGCAACTAGAAAATATGGCTCTGGCTGAGCTATATGAAAAGAATGGATGAGCCAGAGGATCTCTGTTTTGGCTGTTTGATTGCTGAATCCAATGGGAATCCCTAGAGATGGGAAATGAATCTGCCCCAGGAAATGGCAGGTGCAGGGCTGATGTGCTTCTCTGCCCCACAGCCACCAGTTTCTTCTCTAGCTGCTTCCTCCTAATTCTTCAGGGGAAAAGGAATCTGAGCATCCTCTCAGCACTTCGCTCCTTGCTCCCCTAGCAGGGAGGTTTTCCTCCTGGGAACACATCCTATTTTTTTTTTTTAGCTGAGGGAAGCATTAAAAAATAACACTGAAAATGAGGCTGGTTAGCAAAGCCAAAGGTGGAGGGAAAGTTTGCAGGAGTGTGAGCTGGAGCACTTGCTTGGGCTGTCTGGAGACAGCAATCCCCTTCCTGTAGGCTGGAACCTTCTGGGAAAAGGCACAGCGTGAACGTAGGAAGAGCCAAATCCTTAATTTCATATGGAAGGGAATTGTCAAAGCTGTTGCAGCCCTTGAGGGTGCGAGTACATCTGCTTCCTACCAAGATGTACTTGCCTGCTTTGGACTCGGGGTCAGATGCGATAATTAAAGACTCCCTCTCCTTCTCTGTCTTTCACACAAGAATTTGACTCTCTTCCAGCAACATTCCCTGCTTTTCCTTCTTACTGCTGCCCAGAGCAGTGAGCTGGAGGGGCACACAGACCTTGGATGCTGCATCTGTTCAGTAAATGCCTTTCTTTGGACTCCACAGTAACTACAAGTTTCCTTTGTGTTAATCTAAATGAAACTGCTGCAAACACAGCCCAGGATGGCTGTGGGGAGCGGGTGCCGTGGATTTGTGAAGACAGAAGTGCTGAGGATGAGCACTGCAAGAGCTCAGAGCTCCTCAGAGTGCTGGAGGAGCAAGAAACCTCTCTCAGCATCACCTACTCACTTTCACCATGAGAGAATTATGGCACAACATTATCTTTGGAGGCTTTCAGGTGTAAAAGTACAAGCTGTGAGGACTTTTGGCATCTCTGAGAGTCTGTGTAAGCAAGTGAGAATTAATATATTTGCATCTGAGGCACTAGAAAAAAACACCCTCCTCCAGTCTGCTTGGCCGTGTTGGAACAGGGAGTTGTCATCTCCTGGTCCAGGCAGGATTTGTGTCTCCTGATTTAATCACTAAACCCACCACCTTTACTGCAGTGATAACAGCAACAGGACTTCTCTTCCAAGGAGTCTGTTCACCAAGGGAGCACAAGGGTGTGAAACAAAACTGGTGCAGTTCTAAAGGGAGTCCAAGGGAGATGCAGCCCGCTTAGAAAGTCAGTAGCTTTTGTTGTCTAGCTGGATTTAGATATTTTTTCCTTGCTGCTTGCAGTGCTGAATAGCAGCAAAATGTGCCTTGGAAAATATACATGACACGGCATTTATCTGTGATTCATTCTGCCTTTATAACAGCAGTCAGTAGCACTATCTGCATCTTTGCTACTTCACACAAGGCCATCTCTCACACCTATCTTTTTCCTTCTTGCTCTTATTCCTTTAATCTTCTGTTGCTGAGGATTCCCCCCCTGCCCCCTACTAATTTCCCTTTTTTTCCTCTGCACCAAGAACTCTGATTTCTGGTGCTATTTAATCAGTCTGCAGAGCACCATAGGAACTGCTAATTTGCCCAAAGTAGGAAATGTGCAATAAAATAATAATAATAATAATAATAATAATAATAATAATAATAATAATAATAATAATAATAATAATAATAATAATAATAAAATATGCTATACATAAGTGACATGGGGATGAGGGGAGCTTTTCCTTTACAGTTTTCCCAGGGCCTGGCTGCAGCTCTCTGTCCACATTTCCCTGCCTCCCTCCAAAGCACAAGGTGGGTTTGGACAAGGGAGGGTACTGGCAGCTCTGGAAGGAGCAATACAACAAAAGAAAAGCAGATTATTGTGTCATGCCACTCTGCTTCAAGTTGTTTGACGATGTCATAAATGTAGCATGGCTTTTGCAAAATTAGCATGATCTCCCACTTGGTAAACCTACCCTGGAAGTGGAAAATGGCAGTGTTGGAGGGGAGAGGGGTGGTGCTGGGAGCTGCTCAGGGCTAGGGGTTGTTCCAGCAGTTCTGAGCAGCTTTGTTGATCTCTGATCCTGGTGTCCGTGATCCTCAGCAGCTCCTGCCGGGGACTGGCAGTGCTTGATAAGGCTCGGCAGGGAGATAAGATAAGATGCTGCAGTTCGCCTCCATCCTTTGGGGGATCAGTGCCAGCTCTGGCTGGAGCAGCAGGAATTCACCTGCAGCACATCCAGGGAGCCAGGGAAGGAGCTGCTCCCAGGCCCGTGCCATTCCCACATGCCGGGTCAGCACGGGGCAGCAGTCGGGTGGGATTTGGTTCAAGCTCTCCGTCTGTCAGTGATTGCTCTAATGGCTCCTTTCAGCTCAGACTGCAGAAACAACTGAGGGCAGAGCTTTGTCCCCCGCGCTCCCCGCGAGGCTCCGTGCCCAGGGCTGGTCCCACATCCGCAGCCGGGCCGGACCCGATGCTGTTGGCAATGAGCGCCTGCAGCAGGAAGGCGCTGACCCTGCTCAGCAGCGTGTTCGCCGTCTGTGGCCTCGGCCTCCTGGGCATCTCCGTCAGCACCGACTACTGGCTCTACCTGGAGGAGGGCATCGTCCAGCCCCAAAACCAGACGGCAGAGATCAAGCTCTCGCTGCACTCGGGGCTCTGGAGGGTCTGCTTTCTGGCAGGTAGGGTGTCCCAGACAAAAGCATCCCCTTGGTTTGATGTGTGTCAGTGCCACCCAACAGGAAAGGGACGAGAAAAATGGGATTTTTAGAGACTATGCCCACCTCTGCTTCCAAACTCTGGCCCAACCTTCGGCAAGCAGTGTCACCTCTCCATGCCTGACTTTAAAGGATAAATGTGCCTTTGCACGTGGGCTTTGGTGAGTTTGCTGCTGCCCTGCCAGACCCCCTGCCCTGTTCCAGAGCTGCAGCCACGACGCCTTGGGCAGCAGCTAAAACCTTTCCATTTCATCCCTGCAAAATTTAGACTCAGGTCAGCTGGACCATTCCCTCCATCTGTGCCAAGCCTGATGAAGAAACTTGGCTGCAGGGACAGAGCTGAATAGAACCCAAGGGAATGGGAATCTCAAAGTGACCAACCCGAAATGTCACAAAGTCTCAACCACTTTGGAAAAGTCAAGGGAGAAGTGAGGAGCTCTGATATCTCCCCTGGGGTGACCTTAAACCTTCTGGCTTCAGAGTTCACGTTTTTGTGTCTGCCGCAGGTGAGGAGCGTGGCCGGTGCTTCACCATTGAATACGTCATGCCCATGAACATCCAGCTGACGTCCGAATCCACAATCAACGTCCTGAGTAAGTGGTTTGGTGGGTTCCACCCTTTACATCCTGCAAATCACCGAGTCCCAAGCACTAGGGACCCTCCCCAAGAAACCCCCTTTGTGTCTTTTCCAAGGAAGCTCTGAATTCCTTGACAGTGCTGCCACACAATGATGCAACTACATTTTTTACTATGGGAATTACCCAGTGTGCTCATAAGCTTTTGAGGACGTTCCTTTCTAATGGCAGGATGCCCACGGAGGCTCTAAGCTGTACAATTTCCTGTCACTGGCTATTCAGCACTAATGTTTATCAAAGTGTTTGGCTTTTTAGTCTCCTCTCCATAATTTGCAGCTGTATTTATTCCCTAGCAATTTTACACATTTTATAGCAGGATGAATTAAGGATGGAGTGTCACAGCTCTCACGATGAATTCTGCAGTCATTTCTGGTTTAATAAATAGAAGTGTTCTGCAAACATGCAGTGAAGCTAGAGAAAAATGCAGGTTCTGATGGTTTCCTATGCAACACTTCACATGGGAACCCTTAGAAATGCAAACATCAGCAGAGTCACCACCATGGAGGTGGGACACTGGCATAGGTTCCCCAGAGAATCTGTGGATACTCCATCCCTGGAAATGTTCAAGACCAGGTTGGATGGAGCCTGGAGCAATCTGGGATAGTGGAAAGCGTCCCTGCCCATGGCAGAGAGTTGGAATGTAAGGTCCCTTCCAACCCAAACCATTCTGTGATTCCATAATTCTGTTCTACTCAGCTCATTAACAAGGAGAGAAACTCAGACACAACATGGTCTGAGCAGGAGGATTGGAGCCCTCTCACCCAGCCAAGCCCATTTCTCACAACATTTAGGGAATATCAACCCGTTCTCACTTCCCTCTTCTCCCCTCTCAACAGAGATGATCCGCTCTGCCACCCCCTTCCCTCTGGTCAGCCTCTTCTTCATGTTCATCGGCTTCATCCTGAGCAACATCGGCCACATCCGGCCTCACAGAACCATCCTCGCCTTCGTCTCAGGGATATTCTTCATCCTGTCAGGTGAGTTTTGCAAGCCAGGTTTTCTCCTGACAGCCCTTGAGCACGGAGCATGTTGGCTTTGGCAGCTGCTGGTGCTCTCCTAACCTGCCCTTGTGGCTCCTTGATGGACTCATCACTCCCAGCTCATTCCCACAGCCTGATCAGACCTTGTGGGATAGATGCAGAGCTTGTTTGTGGAAATGTGGGGAAAGGCCCCCCCAGCCCATGCAGGAGCAGCTGCTGGGGGACAGGATGCTTCTCGTGGCTCATCAGTCACAGCAGAGATCTGAAACTTCAAACTGCTCAGTTGGGCTGTGTCTACACGAGAAAAGTGAATGTTTTATTCATGGTGTTGTGCGAGTGCTAAACAAATAGCTGTGACAGCTGAGCTTTGAAGCAGCTCCTGCTGGAGCCAGATCTCTCCTCCCCGTGCTCACAGATTTCCCCGAGCAGGGAATGCTTGACTGGAATGAGAGGGGTGCCCTGGCTTGGAGCAGCATGAGGGCAGCTCCTTCCCCCAGTTATTACAAGCACACTCCCAAATTCTTTTACTTTCCCCCAAAGTCAGGCCTTCAGGAAGCTGCTTCTTCAGCAGCTTCATCCCTGAAGCATTTCGCACTGTCCTTCTCCAGGTCTGTCACTGGTGGTGGGGCTGGTCCTCTACATATCCAGCATTAACGATGAGATGCTCAACAGGACCAAGGACTCGGAGTCGTTCTTCAATTACAAATACGGGTGGTCCTTTGCATTCTCTGCCATCTCGTTCCTTCTCACAGAGGTACCCACGCCCTGTAACCAGTGTATCCCATTCCTGGGGGTGGGCAGACTGAGGCTGAGGGCAAGAAGAGGGCTCAGACCGGCTTGAAGGGAGGGCTGTGAGGGTAGGGGGGTAACGTGTAGCTTGAAGGGGACATATGGGGGGGAAAAACCCAACTTAGAGCACTGATGGGGCATTTGATGACAATTTGACGCGAGGCCTGAAGAGCAGAGGAGGAGATGTGGTTGTGGGGCATTAATCATTGCACAGATCCAAGGCATGGGGCCGGGAAGTGACAGCACTTGGGTGCTTTTGAGCATCAGCACCAGCACAAAAAAGGCGATTTCTGTTTTGTCCTGTTTGGGTGGTGGTGCAGCCGCGGGCGGGGAGGACCTCAGGCCGTGTTTCTGTCCCGCAGAGTGCCGGGGTGATGTCTGTCTACCTGTTCATGAAGCGCTACACGGCCGAGGACCTCTACAGACCCCACCCCAGCTTCTACCGGCCCCGCCTGAGCAACTGCTCCGACTACTCGGGGCAGTTCCTGCACCCGGACGCGTGGGCACGGGGCCGCAGCCCCTCGGACATCTCCAGCGAGGCGTCCCTGCAGATGAACAGTAACTACCCAGCCCTGCTCAAGTGCCCTGACTACGACCAGATGTCCTCGTCCCCGTGCTGAGCCCCGGCGCCCCGCGCCCGCTCCGATGGTCGCCGCGTCCCAACTCCGTTTGTCGTATTTTCAGGCCGCTCTTTCTGGCCAATTCTCTATTTATAGGAGCGTAAATATAACCAGAGAGATTGGTTATATAACTAATAGTGTAACCTAGAGAATTGGGATGTTTCCCTTTCTTTGTTTTTTTGGGTTGTTTTATTCCTCCCTGCATAACTAAGAATCTCTCCAAAGTCCTCCTCTCACAGCTCATCCCGCTGAGCAAACAGCAGTTCTGCCTGGGGGATAAATCCAGGGCTGGACTCGAGAGCAGGAAAAAGAAAATAGAGTAGAACTAAGGGAAAAAAGGTGTATTTTTTTGGAGTAGGTAGGTAGGTAGGCTGCTAAAGTTTGTGCATTCGACTGTATCATTGAATTCTGTATTTACGGGCCTGAGCGCCAGCAGGCATCAAAGATTTGTGTAACTTTCCAAGAAACAACCAGCATTAGAAAAATATAAATTTTGTCTTGACTGAACATGTACTGATTGGTATCTCTCACTGCTGGATATCACTTCCAGCCAGGCTGGAATGGGAAATAGCCATCCTTTGATGAGACCTCAGCAGGCTTGAACACCAGCAGGTTGTTGTTCCTCTATGGCCACTTGCAAAATCTTGCTTAAATATCCCATCTTGGACTGGAGGCACACTGAGGTGCTGGGCTGGAGGGATGGCTCCAGAACCCAAATTTCCTCTGCTGTCCCATAGACAGGAGGTCTGAAGTATAAATGGGAGAATTTCAGTGCAGCATTGAGTGGAAAACAACCTAAACCTTTCCCATGGGAAACATCAGGTGCAGGATTTAGCAGAAAGAAGTTATTTCAGTGAAAGGCAAGATCCCAAACTGGTGTAAAGTGATGTAACTGAGATTATTGGTACAAGTCCACTGCAGCAAAGTAGTTGGCTTATAATACATTTTGGCAAGAAAATGGTATTTTTGCTGCTTTCTCTGTGTGCGTGTATATAAACTTTATTTTGAGGTTTTAAGTTGGAAAGTTTCATTTGATTCTTTGGCATTTTGGCCTTAGCCTGCTGCCAGGGGAGAGCATCACTGATGGAAAACAAAGGGCAAGGAAGGAATAGGATGTGATCCCTCGTGCAACCTCCAGCTTGTCACCTTGCAGGAGAAAGAGCTTTGTCCAAACTTTATTTCTGCTCTTGTTATTTTAAACCTTTCTGAAAATTTCCTTTCTGCAAAACAAAATCGTCTGGGGATTCTTGGTATATTTGAGCTTGCTTTGTCTTACTGTTAATTAAAAGACATAGAATATATGCAGTTTTAACCTCATTTGTAGTACACTGCATAGTGAATGTTGGGCCTCTTCATTATTATTATTTAATATTATTATTATTTATTACTTGCTATTAAATATTTATTATTTATAAACTCCTCCAAATCAGGGGCCAAATCCTGGTGCAGCACCACTGTTTGCATCCATTATGACACCCATTCCACAGGACATCACTGCAGGAGTGTATCCAGCCAGCTCTGGAACAGGATTATTCCTCCCCAGTTCCTCCAGAGGAGCAAGTAATACATATCTAGTTTTTATCTGGGTAGACTCCTAATTTGAAAAGTTTGAAAATCAGGGCATCTTTTTGTAGACACAGTTCTATTTACCCTCAGTTTCTGTATGACCCTCAAGCATTTTTGTGTTCTCACTCAAGCCCATTTTTAAGTGCTATGTCACAGGTTGGCTGCTGGCAAGGCTGAAGCACTAAAGCACAGCCCCACCATCCAGTAACAAACCTGCTGCTCCTCACCTGTCCCCAGCCTGATAAACCATCGATTTTCCATCGGGATCTCCACATTCAGTGTGAATTTGGCTCAAAAAAAGCACTGGAGTTCACAAGCAATCATTTTGAGTTTCCCAGGGCCTGATCTGGTTTGCTGGGTAATTTTTGGTGGCTCAAAGGTTGTTGCCTTTGCATGTAACTATTGATGGATCCTGATATTCTTAGTCCTTTATGGATGGGAGATGTTCAGGGTCAGGAACTGCTGATGGCCAGAGCCACGAGGGCTCTCCCATGCCCACATTCCTCCATGCTGAGGAGTCAGCCTGTGGGTTAATGCTGTGCAGCATCATGAGATGTCCCTGTGCCCAAGTGGAATTTTCCTTTGCACTGATTAAATACAGAATTATTCATTTTATAAATTAAAATGTTTGCCTACACAAGTAGAAGAAATTAGAAAAACTTCATGCCTTCCTCGAGGCCCCAGAAGGTTTAGCAGAGTCTAGGGGCAAATTAGAAAAGTAATTATTTTAATTCATTGGAGAGATTCTCATAATGTGGCTGCATTTGTGAGCCTGGGAATTCACACATTCACCCAGTGAGCACAAGTTCAGGACTGCCAGAAAGAAATCTGTTAAAATAAATGTTTGCTGTTGGTTCAGTAAAAGCATATTTTGGGTGCTTGCAAAGCACAGGCAGCAATGGTTGTGCCTCTGGGTCGTTCTGTCCCTCCCAAAGTGCCTCCTGTAGCAGCAGCTCTCGCTGTGGATGGCTGTGAGCTCCTAATGCAGTTATCAAACCTTTGTGGACTGTGGAGAAACTTTTCCAGAGCCTTTGATCCTCAGAGATGTGGTCTGGGTGAGGGGCTGGGGCAAGCCTGGCTCACCTGCCCCAAGAACCACCCCAGAGCTGCAGTTCTCCAAGCAATAAATGCGTAGGAAATATATGCAGCACCCCCTTAGGACACCTATTAATGATTTTATCACCTCTTCTAATTACCTGGCATGGTTTTACCCCACGTCCTTCCTTCTTGAGGAACAACACTCAATCCCCTCCTTCAGTCTCTCTCCCACCCACTTCAGTGATGGCCTGTTCTGTGTCTGTTGCTTTGATTGCAATAAATAAAAGTGGAGTTTAAGGGTAAATTACCAATTAAATTAGAGGTTTTACCCCGATGAGTCCTTAAATTCACCCAATGGGATGAGCCAAGCCTCCCCCAGGCCCGTGGGAAGGTGGCTGCTGTCTGACACTGCACAGAAAATGGTTTGTACTTAGAAGCACAAAAATCTTGTTTTGCATGAATGACTAACTGGTGTCAGAGTCTTTGTGCACACGGCTGTGTCTCCTTGAACTGCAGCATCAGAGCGAGATACCGGGATTAAGGGTTAAATAAAGCCTGATCCAGGTGCAGTTCCCTGCTCCAGGTGCTGCTCAGGCCTGCAGCAGGTGAAGCTTTTTCTGTCCCTGCCATCAGCATCCCATGCACAGCTCCATCCCACAGCCTGGGGATGGATGGATGAGGGATGGATGGAAGGATGGATGATGGATGATGGATGGATGGATGGTTGGATGGATGGATGGATGGATGGATGGATGGATGGATGATGGATGGATGGATGGATGGATGGATGGATGGATGGATGGATGGATGGATGGATGGAGGAATGGCATGTGGGAGGTGAGTGAACCCCTGCTCAGGGGGGCTGGCTAGGGAGGTGGATGCCCTGAGATGTCAGGGAACTCCCAGGAGCCACACTCCCTCTCTATGTCTGAGGTTTTTTAATCAAATCCCCTTTCTGTATGCCCAAAAAGGCATTTTGTGGCCTGTATCTCCCGAGACATGAAAATTCCTCTGCCAGCATCCCCAGGGTTGTCCTCATTCCCCCTTTACACCACAATACTCCCACGGCTCCAGGACCTTCATGGAAATTTTTCCCATTACTAGCGTCCTGAAAACCCTTGTTGAACCATGAGATGTGGATGCAAGAGGCTCATTAAAGACAGGCAGTAATGAAGTAGCCAGGAATAATAAGGCTGTGCCGGGTCTTGTTCTCCTCCCGTTGCTGCTGGAGCATCCTGAGGCTCCAGAGCCCTTTCTTGCATGGAGAAAAAAACATGTTTAAATACATAAATTCACATCTAGGTGTAGATGACCTGCTCTCCAATGCTCCCCCTGCAGCTGTGGTGGCAGTGGGTACAAGGAGCCACTGGGAAGGTTCAGGTGAGGCAGGAGATCCTGTGGGGCAGTAACCCCCCACTCCAGGCAAGGATGCAGACCAAGAGCCCTGGTGAAGCTGCTGCAGTGGTGAGATGAGGTTTGAGCAGATGTTTTGGGGCAAGCTGGTGCTGCTCTTGCCCAGGAGGGGGCCATGGAGCTTTTGGTCAGGTAGGCAGGGGGAGAGCAAATCCTTCTTCTGGCGAAGCCCCAGATGAATTTTGCTATTGTATCATCTGGACACAGGGTTCCAGACCTGTGCCCTTCAACAGCTTCAAGCAGACAAGAGCCAAAGGTATTTTTTAGGGTGTTTTCCAGGCACACACCACTGGCAGGGTAAGGAGCTGACTTGGTGTACACAACTTGGGGGTTTCTAGTCCACGGTGCTCTGCTCTCAATTCCTTGTGTTGCATTATTAATACTATTTGTCAAGGTTGTGTATTCATTTTCCCAAATGTGAGTTGGCCCCATGGGCTATTCAAGGTGTGCTAAGAAATTAAATAGTCTTATTCTTCCCTGCTGATAGCTTGTTAGCTGTGCAGAGCTGGTGTGCCTGTGCTGGGGATGCTGTGTGAGCAGGCAGAATATTCACCTGTGTAAATACTCCTCCACTAATGAGAAGTAGCTGAGAGATATTTATTTTCTTCTTCTTCTTCCTTCCTCATGGGATTTATTTATTTACTTCTTATTTTTTTTCCCAAATTGACAGTCAAACCTATCTAGAAAAAACAGCTTTTTTCCTTCTTATTTTCCTCATCCAGTTTTGGGGTCTTGGTAGGGTCTCCTTCACCCCACTGCAGGACCTTTGTGCCCAAGAACCACATCAGCTCTTTAACTCTTCTTTCTGCAAACTGGCTGCTCCACACACAGGGGAAAGCTGTGAGTGCTGGGCAGGGAGCAGGGTGTCCCCAGGGTGTCCCCAGGGTGTCCCCAGGGTGTCCCCAGCTGCTCCGTGGGTGCCACCATGGCTGGGATGCTCCACTGACCTTTCCTCTGTGCACTGCAGGGTTTCTGTCTATAGCTATTGTGTAGATGTCAAATCC